CAAATGCGATCAGTTTCTGAAATTAGTATCCTTTTTGAGATTTCCTCTTTAAAACAAAAACTCAAATCTATCATATAAAGTGAGAGCCCTTGCCTGCAAGATTGGCATTTCGCTCACCAGAACTGAGTTTTAACAAGACTTAGCTTTTTTGTGCTGAAATTATTGACTCAATAACGTCAATGAGACCACAATAATCAAATTATTTTGCTGGGTTGTGTGACATTGTGTGTTTTTATGACCACATTTTTTTATGCTTTCTGAAAAAGTGTTGAGACTCAGTGAGACTCTCATTGGTAAACAAACGTGATGACAATAATAACCCCAACAAAATGGGAATATACAATTTCCTTATATATACACACATGTTTGTTTTTACATTAAGTAGCAAAATACAAATTTTTCTCACTTATTCTCCATGGAAATGTAACAGGACCCTGCGGGATGGGCTGGTAGGGACGAATAACCAAAGAATATAAACACAATGTATGATTACACTTGTTTAGCCACGAAAGCCTCACTGAGTGTAAAGGTTTTTGTAGGGTCCTGCCAAGTGTTTGCAGTAGGGGGCGATGTTGCTACCAGGATAGCCTCACTGAGTGTAAAGGTTTTTGTAGGGTCCTGCCAAGTGTTTGCAGTAGGGGGCGATGTTGCTACCAGGATAGCGTCACTGAGTGTAAAGGTTTTTGTAGGGTCCTGCCAAGTGTTTGCAGTAGGGGGCGATGTTGCTACACCTAATCGGACGATACGAAGGGAGAGTTTGAGGCCTAGTTCTAGACTTTAGGCCTAGCTGTAGGCTTTAGGCCGCTGTGAGTTAATTTTTAATTTAAATGTTTTAATTGTTAATGTAAAAGCTTGAAATTTAAATGTTTCTATTTAAAAACATCAGGGAATGTAACATTGTTAACCATTAACTCCCTTTCACACACGCGGGGGTACGATACGAAGGGAGAGTTTGTGGCCGAGTTCTAGGCTTTAGGCCGAGCTGTAGGCTTTAGGCCGCTGTGAGTTAATTTTTAATTCCTTTATATTAAGTTCGCGTGCTTGCTTGCTTGCTTACGACCGTGCAAACCTATCGGTCGTTTTTTAACCCACTTCCCGTGATCCAATCGAGCTGACATTTTGCACACAGACTCGTTGTGCGTGACAATTAATGTTCCAAAATTTTACACTGTTTAGGGAAAACAAATTAAATATTGAATTACCAATTGTTTAATACTGCAGACAATCATCTGACCCATAGGTGGCAGCCATCTCAAGCCAGAGGACGAGAGGACTCTAGCCGCCACGCATATAAAGGATTTAGAGTGAAAAACTTTGTTTTTACGGGTTATACTTATTATCTCCATGGGAATGTATAATCCTAAACAGATGTTATCCTAAACTTATCTTCAGCGTTGCCTTACAGAAATATTTTCAAGGAGTTTCCTTTCTTCAACTTGGTTCAGTCTCGTGTCATGAATGACGTGAGTAGATGACATTTTACACTTAAACAAACGTGTAACTTACGGTTTGATTTGTGTGCAGTGATACCAGTTTTGTTTTATACTCTTTGGTTCTTTCGGTAAAGTCACGTAGGTGAAAATTAAAAAATATAATAAAAATAACAAAAATAAAATTAATAAGATAAAATGAACTAATATTTCGTTATTTCCCTTTTTATTTTATTTTAATTAAAAAAAATTATTTTTTTCTTTTTATTTTCATTAAAATAAAATAAAAAGGAAAAAATAAAAAATAAATTAAATCACATTTAATGGAAAACGACAAAATTAAATGTGATTTAATTTAGTTTTCATTTTTTATTTTCATTTTATTATTTTCACCGACGTGACTTTACCGAAAGAACCAAAGATCATTTCAGTCACGAAAACTTCAAATCTAGAATCAGTTTTGTTTTGCTCGGTGCTCTACATCTTCACTACTGATTGTGACGATGTCTGTGGAATGAACCAAGAGGGTTGATAACACATTCCGGCTGCGGAGGGAGCTGGTAGGAACGTTGGGTTGCTTTGTCAATGGCCTGCAGGGTCAACGGCGACGTGGTGTATTCCACAAATATAAGCCGGCGTGAGTAGGTTAAACGTTGAGTTTTATAAGGGCACCACGTGGTGACCAGCCCCTCCCCACCCAGCCCCACCCCTCCCACCCAGCCCCTCCCCACCCTCCCCTCCCCACCCAGCCCCTCCCCACCCTCCCCTCCCCACCAAGCCCTCCCCACCCAGCCCCTCCCCACCCTCCCCACCCAGCCCCTTCCCACCCTCCCCTCTCCACCCAGCCTCACCCCTCCCATTTGTGGATGCACGACGGACGGACGGACGGACAGACACAATAATCCCCTGTGGGCTGGTGTAACCAGGAGGTTCCTACCAGTATTAATGGCCATTACTGAGTGAAAAGATCATAAGGCTACAACGTTTAAGATTTCTCTGGGTAATCACACGGGCATGTGATGAGGTGACCGAACCACAGACTGAGCGGCTCACAATCCCAAATTTGTGATTTCAAATCTAGGTTGGGGGTTGACTCACCCCATCATCTTACCGGGGTAGATAAAACGGGTACCACTTTGTGGATGAGTCGGCAGCGATTACCCAATGGAGAGACAGACTCGTCTCCAACTTAACGTCGCCTCATTGAGCAGGGACTGACGTCGGCTGTGACTAACTCTGCCGAATTGATAACACTTGCACAACTTGCAAGAGGCAATGACAGTACCTCGTATGAATGCTGGAGATGACTTTGTACGATGTTTAACAAACTTTGTCTGACATTTTTTCACAAAATTAAGATTCTGTACACAAACAGACCTGTAGTGGTTTGTGCTCCGACTGGCTCTGGAAAGACTGTTATTTTTGAGCTGGCCATCATTCGTCTCCTAATGGAATGCCAAGGACCCTGCTGCAATGCGAAAGTGATCTATAGTAAGTAGCAGGGGCGGAGTGTATGAGTGAGTGTATGAGTGAGTGTATGAGTGAGTGTATGAGTGAGTGTATGAGTGAGTGTATGAGTGAGTAAATGTGTATGAGTGAGTGAGTGTATGAGTGAGTGTATGAGTGAGTAAATGTGTATGAGTGAGTGAGTGTATGAGTGAGTGTATGAGTGAGTGTATGAGTGAGTGAGTTAGTGTATGAGTGAGTGTATGAGTGAGTGTATGAGTGAGTGTATGAGTGAGTGTATGAGTGAGTAAATGTGTATGAGTGAGTGAGTGAGTGTATGAGTGAGTGTATGAGTGAGTGTATGAGTGAGTGTATGAGTGAGTAAATGTGTATGAGTGAGTGAGTGTATGAGTGAGTGTATGAGTGAGTGAGTGTATGAGTGAGTGAGTGTATGAGTGAGTGTATGTATGAGTGTATGGGCGGTTTCTTCATTAGGGCGATTGGGCGACGCACCACCAATGTCATTCAACCACAGAGTCACGCTAGCCGTCACTGTGCCTCTGGATATAGTCCAATCAGCGTCATGTCACGTTCTGTGGAGTACCGACTCTTTTTGGGCGATTTCACTCCGGCTGAGAATCGCCCCGAGTGTTCCCATAGACTTACATTCAAAGATGTGTTTTTTCGACCGGGGGGTGCTGCAAAGCATTCTCTACGGCTTCCGGGAGGGCTCGCACTAACGTGCTTACGTCATCATACGTAAGCACGTTTCATCCAACAATATTATTTGTCGCCACCTAGTGGAATCTTTAATAAACGAAACTGAGTGGATTGTAATAATAGTGAGTATAGAAACAAACAAGATGTATTGTAAGAGTCACTTTATTTGTCATTAATATTAAAGAAGTGAAGTTGCCTTTACATGCTTAAGCTGTTAATTTATCCATTGCATGGGTGGACCTTATCCTTATCAATCATCGAGACATTTGCCCCCCCTGAGAGATTTTGCAGGAGCCGCCACTGGTAAGTACGTCTCTTAATCGTTGCATGATACATTGTTGCAATTGCCCACACACGGTATTGTATTCGTACAACAGCAAAGCGCGTTTGATGTCGGCCTGCTTGAGCATGAATGTGACGCCTACCCCCCCCCCCCCCCCCCCCCCAGTGGCCCCCATCAAGGCACTGTGTCGGGAGAAATTCGAAGACTGGCAGAACAAGTTCGGAGCACTGGGCATTCAGTGCAAAGAGCTGACCGGAGACACGGATGTCGATGACTTTTTTGAGATACAAAATGCCCAAATAATATTGACAACGCCGGTAAGTTATTATTGGTTTTTTTACCCTTCTATCTGGCAACAAAACTGACACCTTTTTACAAGGAGTCATGTTTGCATAGACCACAATATCAGAGTTGTGTTTTCTTTGTTTGCATTATGACTACTTGTGTTGTGGTTATTGCAAACATGATGCCTTGTATAAAGGTGTCAGTTTTGTACCAGTTGACAGGGAAAAAACCTCCTACTACGACAATATCCGCTGTTGAGTCTTTACAAGACTGGGCAAGCACCTGTAGAGGCCGTACACATATACGCTTGCACACACAAGACGCTATAAAAGTTTGCATTTATACAATGAATATCATACCTAGTCAATCACACATATATACAGTTTTAAATGGTTTAGGCCTTAGATATTTCACGTGTAAGTTTATACCTTTGGAAGCAGGCATACTTTTTAATGGTGTGATTATTTCAAGGACAGTGCACATACATTATCAGAGTTCTGTTTTTTGTTTGCATTCCGACTGCAGGTATTGTGGTCTATGCAAACATGACTCCTTGTAAAAAGGTGTCAGTTTTGTTGCCAGATAGAAGGGTAAAAAACCAATTATCATATTTTTTCTTCTGGCAAATGAGGTACCAATGGTGTAAATGCTTCACCTCGAGCTCTCATACTCTGATGGTGCGTTGTCTTTGAGTTGGGCGCCTTTTGGCGTCATCTGGTCCAACACCATGTGAGACTAGGCTCTAAGGAAAGCTGTCTCGGGTGTGGACCAATAAACTTCAAGGACAGTGCTTACATTATCAGAGTTATGTTTTTTGTTTGCATTATGGCTGCATGTATTGTGGTCTATGCAAACATGACTCCTTGTAAAAAGGTGTCAGTTTTGTTGCCAGATAGAAGGGTGAAAAACCAATTATCATATTTTTACTGGCAAATGAGGTTTCAATGGTGGAACATCGGTAAGTGTTGGAAAAAAAATAAGCCGACAACAATACGCCTCCGTCACGTAGCTGCCCTTCCACATTGAAATCAAGGGCATCTTTTTCAGACATCCCATCAGCCACCACCACGACCTTCTGGGATGATAACAATGTCAGCAGTATTGGCTCAACAAAAGCAATACTTCATCATGGGACCTCCTTTGCCAGTACCGAAATATACTCATAGGGGTTTTCCCCTTTTTTCTGGCAACAAAACTGACACCTTTTGCAGGAAGCATGCTTACATTGACCACAATACTTGCAGTGAAATGCAAACAAAAAACAATACTCTGATAATGTATGCATTGTCTTTGAAACTGATTGGTCCACACCCGAGACAGCTTTCCTTAGAGCCTAGTCTCACATTGGTGTTGGACCAGATGACGTCTAAAGGCCTTGTATTAAGCTGTCAGTTTTGTACCAGTTTAAAGGGTAAAAACCTACTACTATATGTTGCCACTGGTAAGGGAGATGTCTCATAGTGGCAATGCTTACCCCGAGCTCCCAATACTCTGATAGTGCGCTGTCTTTGAGTTGTGCGCCTTTTGGCGTCATCTGGTCCAACACCAATGTAGGCAAGGCTCTAAGAAAAGCTGTCTTGGGTGTGGACCAATCAACTTCAAGGACAGTGCATATCATTACCATCATCAGAGTTGTTTCCTTTTGTTTGCATTTTGACTGCTTGTGTTGTGGTTATTGCAAACATGATGCCTTGTATTAAGCTGTCAGTTTTGTACCAGTTGAAAGGGTAAAAACCTACTACTATATGTTGCCACTGGTAAAGGAGACGTCTCATAGTGTCAATTCTCCTACTTGTGTTCAAGGCCTTCAATGGGCTTGCTGCACCTCGCATCCAGGAAATGATTCAGCCGTACACTCCGCAAAGTTGATTCAGCCGTACGCTCCCCTGAGATCATCTCTCACACATCCACCGATGATCCCCTACTCGGGCGTAGCGCGCTCCCAGAGCGTGAACCTGGGGTAACGGGGCTTCTTGTTTGTAATTCTAGATTTCAAGCTTTCGTGACTACAAGGATTCATATTCTTAGGTTTTTTCGGCAAAGTCACCGTGTAGGTAAAAACATTAAAAAGTAAAATTGTAATGCTGCGTCTCTCGTGTTCTTGTTTGCGAGGCTCACCGACCTCATTTGTTTTTCAGGAGAAATGGGACAGCACGACAAGGCAGTGGCACGACAGGTCTCTCGTGCAGCTCGTGAGGCTGTTTCTGATTGATGAGGTAGAGTACATGACTGTAGTGTTCTTTGTAACGCCATTGGGTCGCGGTGCCAGGCTTCGGTGGCGCATCTTGTGTTGCGGATGATGATATATCCGAAGATTGCCCAGCGTACGTCAATTACAAGTCTATCTTCAACACGCGCGTCATTACAAAATGGCGGACCGCAACAGCGCGTCCGCCATTTTGTAATGACCCGGCTACCCGTACCCGGCCGGGTACGGGTAGCCGTTTGCGACCCTGGTGCGGCCGGGTACGGGTAGACCGTGAGTCACTGGTGAGTAACCGTTTGTCACTCATTTCCCAACGTCTTGTCTCTTCTCACAATTCAAGTTTCTAGAATCAACCCACCCACGCCTGCAACATGGCTTCATCCCGATACCCGTACCCTACCCGTACCCGGCCGGGTACGGGTAGGGTACGGGTACGGCTGGGTACGGGTACGGGTACCCGTTTGCGGCCCTGGTGCAGCCGGGTATGGGTACGGGTAAGGAATCAAAACCCGTTTGCGACCTCTGGCGTAAAGCGAGGATTTCCTGCATAGGGTCACAGTGCCTGACTTGAATATACAGTAGAACCTCTGGTCACGAACGCTTCTGACCACGAATCGGGTTTCGACCAAAAAATTCGCAACATTTTGAACTGGGGTGGCGATCAAGCATGGCCGATTTCCCCTTCCGCGCCATTTTGTTTTTGTAAGCTCCAAATTTCCTGTTGTTTGTTTACAAACAGCAACCCACGTGTGGCCGCTTGCTCACTCAGTCTCACTTAGTAATCGGTCTCGGTCAGACGTGCGCTCATTCGCTGTGAACTGTGTGCAGTTTTTTGTCTATTTTTGCATTAATTTAGCAATTAGCCATGGCCTCTAATCAAGTGAAGAGTGGTAATGTTGGTGAGAAAAAGGTTTTAAAGAAAATTGAAATCGAAGTGAAGAAGGAAATTATTGAAAAAGTATGAGCGTGGTGTGCGTGTTACCGATCTTGCTGCAGAGTACAAGAAATCAAAGTCTACGATCTCGACTATTTTGAAGCATACTAATAGGGGTTTCCCCCTTTTTTATGGCAACAAAACTGACACCTTTCGCAAGGAATCACGCTTACATTAACCACTATACTTGCAGTCAAATGCAGACAAAAAACAATACTCTGATAATGTATGCATTGTCTTTGCAACTGATTGGTCCACACCAGAGACAGCTTTCTTTAGAGCCTAGTCTCATATGTGTTCATCATTGTTTACATTTGACTGCAAGTATTGTGGTTAATGTAAGCGTGATTCTTTGCAAAATGTATCAGTTTTGTTGCCAGAAAAAAGAGGAAAACCCTATTAGTATATTTTGGTACTGGCAAAGGAGATCCCATGATATTTTGAAGCAGAATAAGGCTATTAAACAGCTAATGTTGCAAGGGGAGTTACAATGTTAACCAAGCAGAGGCCTCAAGTGCTGTAAGAGGTGGAAAAAAGTGTTGTTAGTTTCCTCTGTTGTTCAAGGTTTTCTCAGTGTTATTCAATGTTTTTACATTTAGTTTACTATTACACTGTGAATTCTATGGCATAATTAACTATTTTTGTGCTTAAAAATCTTTAAAAAAACAATATTTATATACAGTTCGTAGGAGTCTGGAACGGATTAATCGTATTTACTTACAATCCAATGGGGAAGTTAGGTTCGAGTGACGACCAAATCGGGTTGCGACCAAAGTTATAGAACGAATTATGGTCGTGACCAGAGGTTCTACTGTAGATGGTCATCTAATTAAGGTGGGAGTACCTGCATACGTGTTGATTTTTCGATCACAAAGTTGGGCCCATTCAAACAACTTATCAAGAAGTAGCTGGCATTTGTGCCCAGGTGTCTGAGATGGATGTTGGGAATTCCGTGGCAAGACAGAAAACAGAATCAATGCAGAAGTTTGGCAAGAGTTTACGACAGCTTTAGGGTGTACACTATGAGACACCTCCTTTACCAGTGTCTAAATATAGTAGTAGGTTTTTACCTATTCAACTGGTACAAAAACTGACACCTTTATATACAATCATTATCGGAGTTGTTTCTTTTTGTTTCCATTGTGACTGCTTGTGTTGTGGTTATTGCAAACATGATGCCTTGTATAAAGGTGTCAGTTTTTGTACCAGTTGAAAGGGTAAAAACCTACCACTATAGCTTTAGGGTGGTCAGTGTGTGCAGGACGGGTAAGGGCCGATTGCCGATACAGGCGTTGTAATGGTCTCCACGAGTTTGGACAACTCAAGGCAAAGATCTGAGACAAGATCGTGGGATACTCCGATCAAAGAAATCATGGGCCCCAAAGTGAGAGGGCCAGGAGGTATGCAGGTCAACAATGCTTGCCTCAGGGAGGAGGACGCCCCTGCCATGCATAGTCCCACGGGATGTTGGCTATCAACAACAAGGCAACTCCTACGACTAATTGGGAATGGGACGCAAGCGTAGGATTGATCGCCCTGTCGCTGGCCGCCTTTGGGGAGGGTGTATCGTGTGAAAGGCCGAAACACCCTAGGAACCAAAGGTTCACTACTGACGATGCGCTCCCCAAATGTCACCAGGCTCGCTGTTCATGAACTCTTGGAAGTGCTTGCACAAAGGATAGTAACATCTCATCCTGTGTTCTTTGGAATCTGGAATTGTTGACGTGACTCGGGGCTGCTCGTGCGTACGCTTGCTACCACCCGCCACGCTTGGAGCAAGAGAAAAATGTGCGTGACATCATCGTCATCATCAGCAGCGTTGTTTAACCTGCCGCGCCGGGAGATCAAACGGGACTGCGAGTCTGGTGCACTCACCGTCTGCACCGCTGGCAGCATCACCTCGTCACGCGTCGTGAGAACGATGTCAGATCTCATCTTGCCCGCTGCCCCCGCTTGTTCAGTTCGCTTGGACGGCATCACGCCCGACACACTTGCTAGCAGTTCTTCATCGACCTAACGTATATAACATCAACATCAATGGACAAAAAAAGTCCCATTGCATCATTCTTTGGTTCTTTCGGTAAAGTCACGTATAAAGATAAAATAGTGAATTAAATTAAATACTTGCACAAAGGATAGTAACATCTCATCCTGTGTTCTTTGGAATCTGGAAGTTGCGTCGTGTTGTGTGCTGCGGGTCATGGTGCAGGTGCACACAGTGGGGGATGAGTCACGTGGTGCCACCTTGGAGGCGGTGGTCAGCAGAATGAAGACGCTTCACAATCTTGTCCCTCCAACCTCCACGAAGGACGCACTTCAGCCACCGCATGCCTGTGCCGGAGTGCGGATCGTCGCCCTGTCAGCCACCATTCCCAATATAGAAGACGTGAGTTGGCGGACTTATTTGACGCTAGCGGAAGCACCCGGCGTTGCCCGGGTGAAAACAATATTCCTTAAAAAGCTTACATATATACACAGATAAAGCTTGATTTAAAGCTTTCGTGACTGCAGGGATTCATCTTCTTGGTTCTTTCGGTAAAGTCACGTAGAAGGGAAGTAATAAAATAATAAAAATAAAACATAATACAATTATTCTTGTGGCCGAAACGTCGTGAGAATAATTTTAATTATGTTTTATTTTTATTATTTTATTACTTCCCTTCTACGTGACTTTACCGAAAGAACCAAGAAGATATACGCAGATACTAATGTATTGTCAAAGGCCGGTGGGCCATTTGTACATTTCTCCAACAACAAATACATAAGAGGCTTGCACAAGTCCAAAAAGTTGTAGAAAGTGTGGGGTCAATAGTTGATGCAAAAGGTTTCAGAAAATTGTGGACCCCCCGCCCCTCAAAACATATCTTTACCCCTCGTAGGTATATATACTAACAACACCTTACATACAACAGAGTATCTATTGACTCTGTAGTAGTATTTACTGACTGTACCCTAGTATCTACTGAGCCAGTAGTAGCTACTGACTGTGTAGTAGTATTTAGTGACTGCAGTAGCTACTGACCATAGTAGTATTTACTGGGCCTACAGTAGTATCTACCGACTATATAGTAGTAACGATTATTTAAACATATATTGCTATATCTTCTTGGTTCTTTCGGTAAAGTCACGTAGAAGGGAAGTAATCAAATAATAAAAATAAAACATAATAAAATAAAATAATTCTCACGACGTTTCGGCTACAACGCAAGCAGCTGTCTTCAGGTGAAGAATGAAGACGGCTGCTTGCGTTGTAGCCGAAACGTCGTGAGAATTATTTTATTTTATTATGTTTTATTTTTATTATTTTATTGCTTCCCTTCTACGTGACTTTACCGAAAGAACCAAGAAGATGAATCCCTGCAGTCACGAAAGCTTTAAATCGAAATATATTGCTATAATTTTGATTTGAAGCTTTCGTGACTGCAGGGATCCATACTCTTTGGTTCTTTCGGTAAAGTCACGTAGGTAGAAAATAAATTGTATTTTATTTCTCTACCACTGAGCAAGCTGGCTTTTAATCAAATCTTGTCGCAATATATATACTCAGTCAAAAGGCTGCGAGTTAAAATCCTCGTTGGGGGGGGGGGGGGCTGATTCGTTCCGTAGTCCTTTGAGGGTCAATAAAATCAGTATCACTTTGTGGGGAAGTCAATATTGATCATTGGTTTCTTACCCTTTTATCTGGCAACAAAACCGACACCTTTTTTGCAAGCAGTCATGTTTGTAATATTACGAGAGTTGCGTTTTTCGTTTGCATTCCGACCGCAGGTATTGTGGTCAATGCAAACATGACTCCTTGTAAAAAAAGGTGTCAGTTTTGTTGCCAGATAAAAGGGTAACATTTTTTAAAATCATATTTTGCTACTGGCAAAGGAGGTTCCAATGGTGAAGTCAATGTTTGTTCTACGGATGGATAAGAGTGTGGAATGTTCACCGCTGACTCAGGACTGTCAACAGGATATGAGCACCGCCTCAATGCTGATTTGAGTAACAAAAATAACTTTTAATTGTATTTGCCTCACGTGACCTCCACGTCGACTGTAAACCAGTCGCGTTTCATTTGTAACATCAACCGTGAAAGGGAATTGTGTCACCGTAATCAAGTTGCACGCGGGCAAATGTCCACACATTCTTGGCTCTTTTGGTAAAGTCACCACGTAGAAGGGAAGTAATAAAATAATAAAAATAAAACATAATGCAATAATTCTCACGACGTTTCGGCCACAACGCAAGCAGCCGTCCTCAGGTGAAAACCAGGTCCGTCGAGGCGACAGAGTCTGAATGAAACAGCGCACATTCATTTTGACTCACATCAATACAATATGGAGAGGTATGAACCCTCTCGATGCATTTCCATTAATCTTTGAATGTCCTCTACACATTCTCTCTCCAGGTTGCCGAGTGGTTGTCTGATAGGGATGGAACGGCCACCTTCATAAAATTGGGCGAAAAACATCGCCCTGTGAAACTTCGCAAAATCGTGTTGGGATTTCCTTTCTTTCGTGCGCAGACCGCCTTTAAGTTCGACTTGATACTCAACTACAAGCTGGCAAGAATTATACAAACATATTCTGAGCAGAAGCCAACGCTCATTGTGAGTGCACGTGTTGTTTGTTGTTCCAAGTCAAAATGGCATGATCAGTTCTAGATTTGAAGCTTTCGTGACTGCAAGGATTCATATTCTTAGGTTGTTTCGGTAAAGTCACGTAGAAGGGAAGTAATATAATAATAAAAATAAAACATAATAAAATAATTCTCACGATGTTTCGGCCACAACGCAAGCAGCCGTCCTCAGGTGAAGAACAGGTCTGTCGATAAGACAGAGTCTGAATGAAACGTCCTCGGCTTGGAGCGTCTATTTAAGCTGGGAATTATTTTGTCAAGGCGCTCTTCCTCCTCCCTCCCAGCTTAAATAGACGCTCCAAGCCTAGGACGTGTCATTCAGATGCTGTCTTATCGACAGACCTGTTCTTCACCTGAGGACGGCTGCTTGCGTTGTGGCCGAAACGTCGTGAGAATTATTTTATTCTGTTTTATTTTATTATTTTATTACTTCCCTTCTACGTGATGACTTTACCGAAAGAACCAAGAAGATGAATCCCTGCAGTCACGAAAGCTTTAAATCGAAATGCAAGGATTCATATTCTTAGGTTTTTTCGGTAAAGTCACGTAGGTAAAAAAACATTAAAATTAATATTAATAACAGTAAAATAAAAATAAAAATCACGACGTTTCGGAGGCAACACAAGCTTCCGTCTTCAGGTGGAACCGTCACAGCCACGACAGCCGTATCAAGTAAATGAGAGATTACAAGAGCTACCACTCCGTTTATATAATGGTTGGTTTAATAAAAAGAGTGGTAGCTCTTGCAATCTCTCATTTACTTGATGCAGCTGTCGTGGCTGTGACGGTTCCACCTGAAGACGGAAGCTTGTGTTGCCTCCGAAACGTCGTGATTTTTATTTTATTTTACTGTCATTAATTTTAATTTAAATTTTTTTTTACCTAAGTGACTTTACCGAAAAAGACCTAAGAATATGGCATGCTTAGTTTAAGTGCATATTTTTTAGTATTTTCATATTTTGCATGCAAAACCCGTGAATGTGGAATGTCATAAGGTGTGTAAGGCCTCCATTGGCACGTACATAGCAAACAGGAAATGCCATGTGGACAAAAATAAATCTGACGTGTAGCCTTAACAGACTTTTGGGGGAAGTGTTGCTAAGTGAACACTTATGAAGACCGGCATAAGCACACGAGGGGTGGGTGGGTGGGCAGCGTCACCACACCGGACCGCCTTTGTTTCCCCAGTGCTGATGTTTCAGTACCACGGCAGGTACTCATTTGAGGCTGAGTAGACCTAAGGGAGGCCCAGAATTGGTTCAAATGTTCACCCTTGCTTTTGATCATGAGCGGGAATCGAACTTGGGTGACAGGGTTTGTAGCACAGTTCACTAACCAGCACTCCCCACTCGCAGATACAATCACACAAAGACAATATCCCCTAAAGATGTCTTGGGTGTGGACCAATCAACTTCAAGGGCAGTGCATATTATTATCATCATCAGAGTTGTTTCTTTTTGTTTGCATTTTGACTACTTGTGTTGTGGTTATTGGAAACATGATGCCTTGTATAAAGGTGTCAGTTTTGTACCAGTTTAAAGGGTAAAAACCTATCACTATATTTTGCCACTGGTAAAGGAGGTGTCTCATAATGTAAATGCTTCACCCCGAGCTCTCAATACTCTGATGGTGATGCTGTCTTTGAGTTGTGCGCCTTTTGGCATCATCTGGTCCAACACCAATGGAGACTAGGCTCTAAGGAAAGCTGTCTCGGGTGTGGACCAATCAACTTCAAGGACAGTGCATACATTATCAGAGTTGTTTCTTTTTGTTTGCATTTTGACTACTTGTGTTGTAGTTATTGCAAACATGATGCCTTGTATAAAGGTGTCAGTTTTTGTACCAGTCGAAAGGGTAAAAACCTATCACTATATTTTGCCACTGGATAAAGGAGATGTCTCATAATGTAAATGCTTCACCCCGAGCTCTCAATACTCTGATAGTGCGCTGTCTTTGAGTTGTGCGCCTTGTGGCATCATCTGGTCCAACACCAATGGAGACTAGGCTCTAAGGAAAGCTGTCTCGGGTGTGGACCAATCAACTTCAAGGACAGTGCACACCTTATCAGAGTTGTTTCTTTTTGTTTGCATTATGACTACTTGTGTTGTGGTTATTGCAAACATGATGCCTTGTATAAAGGTGTCAGTTTGGTACCAGTTTAAAGGGTAAAAACCTACTACTATATGTTGCCACTGCTAAAGGAGATGTCTCATAGTGTAAATGCTTCACCCCGAGCTCTCAATACTCTGATGGTGCGCTGTTTTTGGGTTGTACACCTTTTTGTGTCATCTGGTCCAACACCAATGGAGACTAGGCTCTAAGGAAAGCTGTCTCGGGTGTGGACCAATCAACTTCAAGGACAGTGCATACATTATCAGAGTTATGTTCGTTTGTTTGCATTCCGACTGCAAGTATTGTGGTCTATGCAAACATGACTCCTTGTATAAAGGTGTCAGTTTTGTACCAGTTGAAAGGGAAAAAACCTCCTACTACGACAATATCCGCTGTTGAGTCTTTACAAGACTGGGCAAGCACCTGTAGATGCCATACACATATACGCTTGCACACACAAGACGCTATAAAAGTTTGCGTTTATACAATGAATATCATACCTAGTCAATCAGACATATATACATTTTTAAATGGTTTAGGCCTTAGATATTTCACGTGTAAGTTTATGCCTTTGGAAGCAGGCATACTTTTTAATGGTGTGATTATTTCAAGGACAGTGCATACATTATCAGAGTTATGTTTACACTATGGGGACCTCATTTGCCAGTAAAAATATGATAATTGGTTCTTTACCCTTCTATCTGGCAACAAAACTGACTGATTGGTCCACACCAATCAACTTCAAGGACAGTGCACATTATCAGAGTTATGTTCTTTTGTTTGTATTATGACTGCAGGTATTGCGGTCTATGCAAACATGACTCCTTGCAAAAAGGTGTCAGTTTTGTTGCCAGATAGAAGGGTAAAGAACCAATTATCAGAGTTATGTTTGTTTTGTTTGCATTTCGACCGCAGGTATTGTGGTCAATGCAAACATGACTCCTTGTAAAAAAAGGTGTCAGTTTTGTTGCCAGATAAAAGGGTAAAAAACCAATGATCGGTGTGGTTATTCTTTTACAGTTCTGTGCGACCAGAAGAAGTGTCCAGCTGGCTGCAGCCACGCTGGCTAAAGATGCCAAATTCATGATTGATTCCCAGCACAGGCAGAGGTAGGAGTGGGAATTCGCAAATGTTCTGTGATTAAGATGTTGGTGTTAAAGTAAGAGTCAAGGTGCCGTCCTGAAATCCCTTGTTCGAGCCACTGCTGGTGTTCACCTCCGCTTGAGAGAGGAAAATATAGTCTTAGGTTTTTTCGGTAAAGTCACCGTGTAGGTAAAACATTAAAATTAATGAAAGTAAAATAAAATAAAAAATAAAAATCACGACGTTTCGGAGGCAACACAAGCTTCCGTCTTCAGGTGGAACCGTCACAGCCACGACAGCCGCATCAAGTTAATGAGAGATCGCAAGAGCTACCACTCCGTATCTATAATGGTTGAGGCGGGAAGGGCCAGGAACGGCACACTTGTTATTATTAATATTTATTAATAACATGCTCCACCAAACTTGCAGCCATAGCTGGCAGCAAGGTGATCAAGGGGAGAGATTGACACACGTGATTGTGGAAATTCCACACTTCCATGATGGCGCCAAGTCCATCCGTAGTGCCATATCAGTTAAAAAGAGATGAGCGCGCAACACACATCATCGTCATCAGCCATCATCAATCCACTGCTGGATGAAAAGCCAAACGATATTTTGTGTTCAGTGTGCCGTGAAGATGGCAGTAAGCTCAAAGGTTTGTGCCGTGGAATGAAACGTGTTGAGTAGCGCTGCTCTAGAGGGATAATGGTCTATCTTCTTGGTTCTTTCGGTAAAGTCGTCACGTAGAAGGGAAGTAATAAAATAATAAAAATAAAACATAATAAAACAATTCTCACGACGTTTCGGCCACAACGCAAGCAGCCGTCCTCAGGTGAAAACCAGGTCCGTCGAGGCGACAGAGTCTGAATGAAACAGCACACGAGCTTGGAGCATATATATAAGCTGGGCGCATTGACAAAGGAATTTGCATATCAAGAGGAATGTAGCATATTTATGGGAAATGCAGGAATGTGATTAGTACTGCATATGCATGTGCATCATGCAGGATTAACAGCATCAAAGGGAGCTGCAGTTACTGCTGCAGCAGCAGTACTTCCCTTCTACGTGACTTTACCGAAAGAACCAAGAAGATGAATCCCTGCAGTCACGAAAGAAGCTTTAAATCGATCAGGGTCTACTCTGTCACATTGACCAGACGTGATGGGAGAGGCAGGCGTACCCACACTTTACCGCACTACGCGCCACCTGCCGGCTTGTGTGTTTATACACTGCTCAGTGGGCACGGGCAGTGGTGGGGAGGGAGGGGGGTTAAAAAAACGTGCACCGTTGTTTAAAAGATCGTGAGTGAGTGAGTAGAGAGTGAATGAGTGGGTGAGTAGGTGAGTGGGTGAGTGAGTGGGTGAGTAGGTGAGTGAGTGAGTGGCGTGAGTGGGTGAGTGAGTGGGTGGAGTGAGTGGGTGAGTGAGTGAGTGGGTGAGTGAGTGGGTGGGTGAGTGAGTGGGTGAATGAGTGAAAGAGTGGGTGAGTGGGTGGGTGAGTGGGTGAGTGAATGAGTGAGTGGGTGAGTAGGTGAGTGAGTGAGTGGGTGAGTGAGTGGGTGAGTGAGTGAGTGAGTGGGTGAGTGAATGAGTGAATGGGTGAGTGGGTGAGTGAGTGGAGTGAGTGAGCAGAGAGTGAGTGGGTGGGTGAGTAGGTGAGTGGGTGAGTGAGTGGGTGAGTGAGTGAGTGGAGTGAGTGGGTGAGTGAGTGAGTGGGTGAGTGAGTGGGTGAGTGAATGAGTGAGTGGGTGAGTGAGTGGGTGAGTGGGTGAGTGAGTGGGTGAGTGGGTGAGTGGGTAAGTGGGTGGGTGAGTGGATGCGTGAGTGAGTGAGTGGGTGAGTGAATGAGTGAATGGGTGAGTGGGTGAGTGAGTGGAGTGAGTGAGCAGAGAGTGAGTGGGTAGGTAAGTAGGTGAGTGGATGAGTGAGTGGGTGAGTAGGTGAGTGAGTGAGTGGGTGAGTGAGTGAGTGGGTGAGTGAGTGGGTGAGTGAATGAGTGGGTGGGTGAGTGAGTGGGTGAGTGGGTGAGTGAGTGGGTGAGTGGGTGAGTGAGTGGGTGAGTGAATGAGTGAGTGGGTGAGTAGGTGAGTGAGTGAGTGAGTGAGTGGGTGAGTGAGTGGGTGAGTGAGAGGGAGAGTGAGTGGGTGGGTGGGTGAGTGGGTGAGTGAGTGCGTGAGTGAGTGGGTGAGTGGGTGGGTGAGTGAGTGGATGAGTGAGTGGGCTGGGTGGGTAAGTGGGTGGGTGAGTGGATGGGTCAGTGAGGAGGTGAGTGAGTGGGTGAGTGAGTGAGTGGGTGAGTGAATGAGTGAGTGGGTGAGTGAGTGGGTGAGTGAGTGAGTGAGTGGGTGGTTGGGTGGGTGAGTGAGTGAGTGGGTGAGTGAGTGGGTGAGTGAGTGGGTGGGTGAGTGGGTGAGTGAGTGAGTGAGTGGGTGAGTGAGTGGAGTGAGTGGGTGAGTGAATGAGTGAGTGAGTGGGTGAGTAGGTGAGTGAGTGAATGGGTGAGTGAGTGGGTGAGTGAGTGAGTGGGTAAGTGAGTGGAGTGAGTGGGTGAGTGAGTGGGTGAGTGAGTGGGTGAGTTAGTGGGTGAGTGGGTGAGTGAATGAGTGGGTGAGTGAGTGAGTGGGTGAGTGAGTGAGTGAGTGGGTGAGTGAGTGGGTGAGTGAGTGAGTGAGTGAGTGAGTGAGTGAGTGAGTGGGTGAGTGAGTGGGTGAGTGAGTGAGTGGGTGAGTGGGTGAGTGAGTGAGTGAGTGGGTGGTTGGGTGGGTGGGTGAGTGAGTGAGTGGGTGAGTGAGTGGGTGAGTGAGTGGGTGGGTGAGTGGGTGAGTGAGTGAGTGGGTGAGTGAGTGGAGTGAGTGGGTGAGTGAATGAGTGAGTGAGTGGGTGAGTAGGTGAGTGAGTGAATGGGTGAGTGAGTGGGTGAGTGAGTGAGTGGGTAAGTGAGTGGAGTGAGTGGGTGAGTGAGTGGGTGAGTGAGTGGGTGAGTTAGTGGGTGAGTGGGTGAGTGAATGAGTGGGTGAGTGAGTGAGTGGGTGAGTGAGTGAGTGAGTGAGTGGGTGAGTGAGTGGGTGAGTGAGTGAGTGAGTGGGTGAGTGAGTGGGTGAGTGAGTGAGTGGGTGAGTGGGTGAGTGAGTGAGTGGGTGGTTGGGTGGGTGAGTGAGTGAGTGGGTGAGTGAGTGGGTGAGTGAGTGGGTGGGTGGGTGAGTGGGTGAGTGAGTGAGTGGGTGAGTGAGTGGAGAGAGTGGGTGAGTGAATGAGTGAGTGGGTGAGTAGGTGAGTGAGTGAATGGGTGAGTGAGTGGGTGAGTGAGTGAGTGGGTAAGTGAGTGAAGTGAGTGGGTGAGTGAGTGGGTGAGTGAGTGGGTGAGTTAGTGGGTGAGTGGGTGAGTGAATAAGTGGGTGAGTGGGTGAGTGGGTGAGTGAATGAGTGAATGAGTGAATGAGTGAGTGGGTGAGTGGGTGAGTGAGTGGGTGAGTGAGTGGGTGAGTGAGTGGGTGAGTGAGTGGGTGAGTGAGTGAGTGGGTGAGTGAGTGAATGAGTGGGTGAGTGAGTGGGTGAGTGAATGAGTGGGTGAGTGAGTGAATGAGTGAGTGGGTGGGTGAGTGAATGGGTGAGTGGGTGAATGAGTGAGTGGGTGAGTGGGTGAGTGAGTGGGTGGAAGGTGGAATTGATTGCAAGTCTAGTGTGCTCACCACTACACCATATATACCGATCATTTATTGTCATTTCAGACTGCAGGTGCATGCTTCTTACCTGAAGGATATCAAGTTGAGAGGTACGCTTGTAAAGCTCTCACTGTGCTTTGTTAACGAGGATTGAAAATAATTGCATCGAAATATCAAGCAAACATTCGTGTCATTTGTTTTTATTACTCTTGTAGATTTGCTGACCAAAGGAATTGCATACCATCATGCAGGAATGGAAATGTCTGATAGAAGAAACATTGAAGATGTTTTCTTGCGAGGAGAACTGCCAGTACTGTGTACGTAAAACATGAGTATATACTTTATTCATGGAGAGATTGTAGATTATACTATGAGGCATCTCCTTTACCAGTGTACCAGTTGAAAGGGTAAAAACCTACTACTAGATTGTAGATTGATATACGTGTCCATGTATCAGGTTTGCATGCGGCTTTGTGAAATTAGTAGGGTCTGTCATGTGTGCATATTTCAGGATTACAAACCCATACTGAGCCATATATACTAATAACCCAAAACCTCTATTATGGAGCATCTAGCAACATTGCCCCATCCGCGAAGCTACTGCAGAATGTGTGCAAACACAGCGGGTTCTTTCGTGATCGCCTTGTGATGAAAGAATGGTGCAAATACAGAGTGTGTTTGTTTGTCTTCTTGGTTCTTTCGGTAAAGTCACGTAGAAGGGAAGTAATGAAATAATAAAAATGAAACATAATAAAATAACATAATAATTATTATCTTTTATTTTTGTTATTTTATTATTTCCCTTCTACGTGACTTTACCGAAAGAACCAAGAAGACGAATCCCTGCTGCAGTCACGAAAGAAGCTTTAAATTATTTTATTATGTTACAATTTTGTTATTTTATTATTTCCCTTCTACGTGACTTCACCGAAAGAACCAAGAAGACGAATCCCTGCTACAGTCACGAAAGAAGCTTTAAATCAAACTGTGTTTGTTTGATTTCTCTGCAGTCTCCACAAGTACACTGGCTATGGGTGTCAACCTTCCTGCACACCTGGTCATCGTCAAATCGACGATGCACTACACCGGGGGAGGCATGCTGCAAGAATATAGGGACACAGATATTCTACAGATGATTGGCAGGGCAGGAAGACCGCAGGTAGATGCACATCTTCTGTATATGTTGGTTCATGCATCCTTACTTTTCTGAACTAAGTACGGTAAAACTTTGGATTGCGAACATAATTCGTACCGTAAATGTGTTTGTAATCTAGAGCACTCGTATAGTTAAGGGAAGTAATAAAGTAATAAAAATACAACATAATAATATAATATAATAATATAATAAAATAATATAATAAAATAATAAAATAATATGATCATATCATATTATATTTCGATGTAAAGCTTTCGTGACTGCAGGGATTCATCTTCTTGGTTCTTTCGGTAAAGTCACGTAGAAGGGAAGTAATAAAATAAAAATAAAACACAATTAAATACTATTTTGTACTTTATAATAAAATAATAAAATAAAACATAATAGAATACAATTTTGTATTTTATAATGTTTTATTTTTATTATTTTATTAATTCCCTTCTACGTGACTTTACCGAAAGAACCAATAAGATGAATCCCTGCAGTCACGAAAGCTTTCAATCGAAATTTAAATCGAAATGTATTTGAACATGTTTTGTGTTTGGGAGAAAACACAAAATACCAAATTATATTTTATTACGTTTAATTTTTATTATTTTATCATTTCCCTTCTACGTTCAAATAAACCATGCCAATAATTCAATGCAGGATCCATCTGAATTTCCTGAGACTCATTAAAGCTTTTCCTGAATTTATCTAATGATTAGTACGGCTAATTATCTATGTTTATGTAAAGTGACATGCGTTGTATCGTTCACAGTTTGATGTTTCAGCCACTGCCGTGATACTGACAAGAAACGAATTGAAAGAAAAATATGAACAAATGCTCAGTGGGACCCAGAAACTAGAAAGCAGGTAGGACAGTAACGACAATATTGTTCTACACTATGGGGACCTCATTTGCCAGTAAAAATATGATAATTGGTTCTTTACCCTTCTATCTGGCAACAAAACTGACACCTTTTTGCAAGGAGTCATGTTTGCATAGACCGCAATACCTGCAGTCATAATACAAACAAAAAACACAACTCTGATAATGTATGCACTGTCCTTGAAGTTGATTGGTCCACACCCGAGACAGCTTTCCTTAGAGCCTAGTCTCATATGGGTTGGACCAGATGACGCCAAAAGGCGCACAACTCAAGGACAATGCACCATCAGAGTATCAGAGTTATGTTCTTTTGTTTGTATTATGACTGCAGGTATTGCGGTCTATGCAAACATGACTCCTTGCAAAAAGGTGTCAGTTTTGTTGCCAGATAGAAGGGTCAAGAACCAATTGACAATATTGTTCTTCTTTGGTTCTTTCGGTAAAGTCACGTATAAAGATTAAATAATACATTAAATAATAGCATCATACGACGTTTCTCCGTACCTGTGTTTCTCTCTCTCTCTCTGTGTATCTCTGTGATGTCTGTCTGCTTATATGTCTGTCTGTGTGTCTATGTTGTGTGTCTCTCTCTGTGTGTGTCTCTGTGTTGCTCTCTCTCTGTGTATCTCTGTGATGTCTGTCTGCTTATATGTCTGTCTGTGTGTCTATGTTGTGTGTCTCTCTCTGTGTGTGTCTCTGTGTTGCTCTCTCTCTGTGTATCTCTGTGATGTCTGTCTGCTTATATGTCTGTCTGTGTGTCTATGTTGTGTGTCTCTCTCTGTGTGTGTCTCTGTGTTGCTCTCTCTCTGTGTATCTTGGTGATATCTGTCTGCTTATATGTCTGTCTACAGTTTTCTGGTTAGATTTTTTTGTCGCTATTTCATTTATACCTGATTATGATTGCTTGTGTTGCAGTCGAAACGTCGTGTGCTATTATTTAATTTATTATTTTATATTCTTAGGTTTTTTTCGGTAAAGTCACGTAGGTAAAAACATTAAAAAGTAAAATAAAATAGCCTTTGTTATGCAGTCTAGTCTTGGTCTCAAGCCTCACCTTACCATATTAATACAAAGTATGCGGCCCTTCCCCCCTCTCCAGCCATTATATAAACGCAGTGGTAGCTCCTGTAATCTCTCATTTACTTGATGCAGCTGTCGTGGCTGTGACGGTACCTCCTGAAGACGGAAGCTTGTGTTGCCTCCGAAACGTCGTGAATTTTTATTTTTATTTTACTTTAAAATGTTTTTACCTACACGGTGACTTTACCGAAAAAACCTAAGAATATGAATCATTGCAGTCACGAAAGCTTCAAATCTAGAATTATTATTTTATCTTTAGACGTGACTTTACCGAAAGAACCAAAGAATAATTACTGCAGTCACGAAAGCTTCAAAATTAAGATTGACAGTATTGTTGTTACATGTATACATTGGGCATACACATGTACATGTTTTGATTTAAAGCTTTCGTGACTGCAGGGAGTCATCTTCTTGGTTCTTTCGGTAAAGTCACGTAGAAGAGAAGTAATAAAATAATAAAAATAAAACATAATACAATAATTCTCACGACGTTTCGGCCACAACGCAAGCAGCCGTCCTCAGGTGAAGAACAGGGCTGTCGGAAAGACAGCGTCTGAATGAGCTTCTACGTGACTTTACCGAAAGAACCAAGAAGATAGATCACACACGTGTTCTGGAATCTCCACTTGGGCTCTGGGTGAATCTTAGAATCGACTCTGAGATCGTGTTACTTGCCCATAAAGCACCCACCTACATTTGGGACTTTTAGAACCCCAGTATTCTATCTCGCAATCTACATTTCATGGATCCCAGTCTTCTCTGCATCCCACTAATGAGACGGCACTCCAAGGGCGATGGGGCCTTCTGCTGTGTGGCTCTACATCTGTGTAATGCCCTCCACAGACATGTTTGTGATGTGGGTATTGTCAATGTTTATGAAGTCACGATTGAAAGCTGACGTCCTTACTATTTCTTTGGAACACTAGAGCAATTACTGAGTGCAACGTATTCAACGATGACATTTTCACATGCAACAGCTCTTTGGTTCTTTTGAGGAAAAGTAGCGTATCAATATAAACATTTATTTAGAATTATACTATCTTGTTCAGGATCTTTCCAATTTCCGTGCTATAATGAAAACTTTCTCAGTTAATTTGAAGATACGTTCAGAATGATGTGTTTTTTTTCTACCTTTTGTGAATTTCCATTAAGCATCTTCCTCTCTGCATCTTCCATGTTCCCATCGCTATGAAGTAGCTACCGTTAATTTCATCTTCTTAGTACTTTCGGTAAAGTCACGTAGAAGGGAAATAATAAAATAATAAAAATCAAACATAATAACATACAATTCTCACGACGTTTCGGCCACAACGCAAGCAGCCGTCCTCAGGTGAAGAACAGGTCTGTCGGAAAGACAGCGTCTGAATGAAACACCACCAAGCTTGGCAGCGTATATTTAAGCTGGGTTAGAGTAGGAGGGCGCCTTGACAAAGGAATTTGCATATCAACAGAGGAATGTTGCATATTTATGGAAAAATGCAGATATGGGATTAGTCACTACTTGTGGAATGTGTAGGAGATGGGGGGTGGGGGTTTCAAAGTCATATCATGCCCGTGCATTATGTAGGATTAGCAGCAACAAGGGGAGGGAGTAGGGTTAGCAGTCATAAAGGGAAGTAATTTTAATAGTAAGAAGCTGCAGCAGCCAAACCACCACCACTACGTACCAGAGGTGTGGACTCGAGTCATGTGACTTGGACTCGAGTCAGACTCGAGTCATGAATTTGATGACTTCAGACTCCACTTGGACTTGCATAACAATGACTTTGTCCCACCTCTGAGCTGGTGTGGACTCGAGTCATGTGACTTGGACTCGAGTCAGACTCGAGTCATGAATTTGATGACTTCAGACTCGACTTGGACTTGCATAACAATGACTTTGTCCCACCTCTGAGCTGGTGTGGACTCGAGTCATGTGACTTGGACTCGAGTCAGACTCGAGTCATGAATTTGATGACTTCAGACTCGACTTGGACTTGCATAACAATGACTTTGTCCCACCT